CTCTCTCTCTCTCTCTCTCTCACACACACACACACACACACACACACACACACACAAATATGTTACTGTAAAGCCAATCACGGTGTAATCCCAGCATTTATGAGGAAAACAAAGCAAGAAGGATCAACAGAGGCCCTCTTCTGGCCTGCAGTCATACGTGCTGTATACATAATAAATAAATAAATTAAAAAAAAGAAGAAGGCAGACTAATCCAATGAGACAAAAACTAAAGGGACATTTAAATGAGCTGCCTCAATATACAAAGAGAAAAAAATACAAAGAGCATTATTTCCTCTTTTAATCTTCATATGCATACTTTCCATCTTTTAATCCATAGAACAATCCCATCAGATACTTTCATTTTTTTAGGTTAAGAAAATAAAGCTCAGGGCTAGAGAGATGGCTCAGCGGGTAAGAGCACTGACTGCTCTTCCAGAGGACCCAGGTTCAATTCCCAGCAACCACATGGCAGCTCACAACTGTCTTTAATTCAAGTCCCAGTAGATCTGATTTCCTCACAAAGACATGCAGGTCAAATACCAATGCACATAAAATTTAAAATTTTTTTAAAAGAATGAAAATAAAGCTCAGAGAGGTTCAGTTATTTCCCTAAACTCATGCAGCCATGAAATGAACAGCTGGGTTTCAAAACTAGGTTATGCCATTTCTTAAACCCAAGTTTGATTCCTTAGTATATCTAGTGCCTAATGCCATTTTAACTAAGCTCCTTCCAGGCTTGAGCAACTTTTCTTCTTCCCAGGAACTCAGCACAGAACCTGTGACTAAAACTTCCTGACGATTTACTAAGCATCCATTATTAATTTCAGTAAGAGCTTCAGCCATGAGAAACAAAATAACCAGTATTTTGGTTTTATTTTAAAATCTCACACAAAAGCCCCAGGCATCTCTGCCATCCCACACTGATCATAACTACATTCCACTACCCATTCAAACCTCCAGTTGTTTCCACATTATCGTTCATTTGTCCACTCAGGGGATAAAGAGAGCTACTTTCACCAAAAACCCTCCCTCATGACTCCCGGTAGATAATGCAGTAGAGGGGCCTTGCTGTAAAGCAATGAATATAAAAGTCATAAAAGCTTTTTGTTTATCTGTCACAACTAGGAGATGGGCTATTCTAGCAAACCAAACATCCCGGAAAATATCACGATGTTATCAGAGAGACGGCCAATTTACAAAGAATTCAGTGCATCCCATTTCAATTTTTAAAATGTTAAACCAGGAGGAGGGTGGGGGGATGCACATCTTTAATCCCAGCACTCCGGAAGCAGAGATAGGCGGATCGCTGAGTTTGAGGCCAGCCTGGTCTATACAGCAAGTTCCAGGGCAACACAGAGAAACTATGTCTTGGGAAAAAAAAGTTAAGAAAGCAGAAGTGAACTCCAATTTTCAAAGTTCCATAGGCCTTGATGTATGTTATGCTTTTATTGTACATATTAATATACTTATAGATACATACATTCATATCAATAAAATACAACAGTGGTTCCCGAACTAGGCTACACCTCAGAAGCAGCTGGAAAGCCTTTTGGAAATCAGATGGTTTCAAAATGTAGGTCATCATCCAATGATCAAACCTCCAAAAGGTGCGGCCCTGAGATCAGCCTCTTTCAAGAAAGTCTGGGTAACGAACTGAACCTCTCAAGGAGTGGCTGACTTCTGGAAACTCCTTACAATAAAACAAGGTTGAAAGCTACACTGAAAATAATATGACCTTCCTTTGATGGCTCGGGAGACTTCAGAGTTTCCCAGTACCACTGGGTCAACACTCACCAATACTGACTAGTCATTGTACTGACAAAACCAGAAAGTAAGGAAAAGTTTAACACAGATTTCCTAATGGCAGAAAGCTGGAAAAACCAGCTTTTGTTTTACTGTCAGACTCAAAGAGCTGGGTTTCTCCCAGAAGAAATGCATATTTTTATGCTTGCTTTGTAAAAGGGAAATGTTTTTAAAACATGTAGGACTCTTAACCAACTGCTTAGCTCCACTTCAGATGTAAACAGGCTCCAAAAATATGGAATATTCAGCCTGAATAAAAAAAAAAAGAAGGAACTTCGTGACCATCTTATGGAAGAGAAAAGATAATGGGTTTAGACTAAGATCAGCTTAACAGAATTAGTTGTGACCAACTGTCCAGAGTCCAGCAACTGTTAAGTCCTGGGGACAGGGCGGGCTAAGGACAATACACACAAGAGGTCAATTCCTACCTATCTGAGATGACCTTTATGTGAGCCTGAGAGCCCAATTGGTTTTAGGATTTTAAAATTCCACGGCTCATATAAAGTCACAAAACGAGAAAGGAACTGGAACATTTCCCTGTTAAAGAATGGGAGTCCGTGCCTGCATATGAAAAGATCGCCCTTACAATTGCCCAAATCATTCTTAAATAGACGTCAGGTAATTATCAGTAGCCAAACCAAGATAACCAAGGAGTTATGGCTGTAGTTCCTTGGTACAGTGTGTGTTTACTATGTGCAAAGCCACCTCAGTTCCACCCCTTACCAGACCACCATCTCCCCCCCACGGTGCTAATAACCAGCAACCATCACCTCCAAAAACAAAACAAAACAAAGCAGCCCCTCCCTTGAGACTTCACTAGCAGCAATCTGAACCATCTATCCTCAGCAAACTCTGAATGAGACTCCAACTCTAGATTGTAGAGTTGAGACTCCAGAGCAGTTTCTCTTTCCTCTCCAAACATAAACGCATTAGCAGCACAAGTTGGGTGTCAAAGTCCCTCATCTGCCATTAAAATAACAGCCATTTTAAAGATTCTACCATAGGAATAAAAACCATGTACTTAGCTCCCTCCCCACCATTCCTTACGTTTATGTAGATGCTGTCAGAAAGTAGCAGGTAACACCCAGAGCCAGATGTGGCTGCACTGAACTTCACAAGGCTCGTGTACTTGGAAAAGAAGCCATCTTTTTGTTAACATTGCTATTTGTTAAACGAGTTCATGAAAATCTCTTTAAGAGATGGTACTAAACACTTAGGTCAACTGGCTGGGTGAATAGTGAACCTGAAAAGAGTTAAACTTTCTGAGAAGTTTCTCTTTTTTGTTACGATTTTAACAGTTGGTTAAACTGGACTTCGCAATTAAACAAACATTAAAGTGAGTGTGTGTTCCCTATTACATGGGCATCTTTGAACACCATCAAGTTACTAGTTAGACCTGCCACATCCATCTGCTACTGTCCTCCACACTACCCAACCGTTCTCAAAGGCAAGACTACCTATAAATAGCCAGGCAATGGTGGTACACACCTTTGATCCTAGCACTCAGGAGGCAGAGGCCAGCCTGGTCTACAGGGTAAGTTCCAGGACAGCCAAGGATACACAGAGAAACTGCCTTGAACCTGCCCCCCTCGCCAAAAAAAGGAAAAAAACAACCAAAAACCTGCAAATAAATACACCACAACTTTTGAACTGTACTCGGAAATCCAGAATTAGCAAATATGAGAAAAAAAAAAGTTTCAGAAACACTTGCCTGCCACTATCTATTTCTTTGAATGTGAAAGAATGTGGGGGAGGGGGGAGGGAAGAATAAATAAGTTGCCAGAAAAGAAATATCATGGCCAACTTCAGTCCTAGAACTCTACAAACTCGGCCCAGGACCAAGTCCCCTCCCATTCCTAGAAAAATGCCACAAAACTCAAACAGCCTTGCCACATTTCAGAACACTAGACTGTCGTGGCGAGACACAAGGCTCTCAAAACAGGGGACAGGGAAGTCTCTTGGTTCTCCTAGCCACCAGCCAAAACATGCAGAAGGAGCTTACTGCTTTCTTAGAAGGCCACATGCACCCCAGGGTGTTTGTTCAAGACCTTTAACCAGGGTACAAGTGAGAGTTGTGGGTAAAGTCCCATTTCCGAGCTAAAAATAATCTTCCTCCGTGGTGGACAGAGAGGAACGTGGTACTCTTCCTTGATTACACAACGAACACCCCCACACATACATACACCCCCAAAATGACAGCCTAACACAAAAAGGAGAAATTAAGCTGCGGTTCTGTCGTTTCTGCCAGCCTCCAATCAAGCTCTGAGCAGACAGATGCCAGGAAAAGCTGCGGGCTCCCCTGGTCTAACCAGACTTCCCCCCATGCCCGGTCAAATGTCTCCTGGGCAGCCGGCTGGAGAGGGGCCCCACTTCCCTCTGAGTCGCGGTCAGGGCCACACAGGGACGACCTCACACACCTCGGAAACAGAGGTCGACCCTCCAGAGGCAGACAGCCGACCCTGGCAGGGAGGAGGGGTGAGAAGCAATCCCAAACTTCCCATCTAACCTCCAAACTCCGAATCTCCAGGGTCCTCCCGGAGGAAGGGAGCCAGCGCCGCCCAAGCTCTGCCTCAGTTTTCCCTGTCCTACAGAAATGCATCCTCCCCCCCACCCCCAGGCAGGAGCCAGCAGGACCTGCGGGGCTCTTACGACACTTGTACACAAGTTGAGGACACACGTCCCGGGTTACGGCGCACACAGGCGAAATGCTTTGCGGCACTTTCAATGGGACAGGTGTAGGGTGACCTGGCGGCGGGAGAGTTCCCGAGACGCAGGGGCTGCCCGGACTCCCGGAGCGCAGCTGGAGCCCCCACACCCCCGGGGAGCACAGCCTGGGTGGGAGCAAGCACCGTGTCCTCCGGCCCGACCCGCCGCGGCCACCGCCTCCTCACCTGCCGCGGACGCTCCCCGGCCGCACCTGGGAGGGCAGAGGCCGGATCTGGACCGCGGCCACTTAGGCGGCGGAGCTGCGGGCACGGCCACCACCGCCGCCGCCGCCGCCGCCGCGACTCCCGGGCTGAGGGGCGCCCGGGTGCGCGCAGCACATCCTCACACGCGCGGCCCCAGGAAGTCCACCCCCACCGACCCGGCCGGCTCTCCCGCGGCTCGGCGTGGGCCCCGCCCGTCCTGCGTGCGGCCCCGCCCGCCCCACGTGCGGCCCCGCCCCCGCGGGAGCGCGCCCCGCCCCGCCCCCGCGCCCCGCGCCACCATAGAGAGGAGTCTGGGCCCGCGGCGGTCTAGAGCGCTGCTTCCGCGAGCGCCCTCTGGCGGAATCCCGGCGGGCTCGGGCTGCAGGGCCCGGACACGGAAGCCCGGCTAGGTGTGGGGTCCAGAGTTCGAGTCTTGGCTGAGTCAATCCCCCCACCCCGTGCGTGGGGTGACCTTGAGCGACTCTCTTAACATCCTCAAGTTGCTTTTATGTTGAACCCTTGATTTCATGTTTCACTATACCCGGCAGACGACAGTTTTCCAGTTCATGGTGGAAGAAACCCAGACTCACCCAATGCATTAACTCCCTTGGAGATGTTAAAAGGCCAGTCTGTGAAGCATCCTAACCTTCGCGTTCCTACAAGGATTAGCTGCTTTCACGTTAGGAAGGCGGGGACAGAGCCGAGAAAGGCTGCCGTACAATGAAAATGACTGCTAGGGGCCACCCAACCATCATTCATCGGCTGTGCACCTTTTGGTAGGTATTTAACCTTCCCGAACTCTTCCCCATCCCGGAAAAGCAGGCCGGGCCTGCAGATTAAATGAGCTGCTGCACAAAGGCCTTAGTAAAGCATAAAACACCAGGGTAGCATAGGGGATCATTAGCCAGTGATCTAAGGAGATGCCTAGTCATGGAAGTCATATAAATGCTAATTCTTCTGCCTAGTGTCTAGTGACATCATTTTCTCAGGCTTCAGGTTCCTATCACAGACCTCTCAGAGATTTCCTGAGCAATATGTATTTGTACTTCTTCAATATTTTGGTGCTTGGGAGTTTTGTATCTACTAGGCAGGTGCTCTACCACAATAGTGCTCTACCCCTTGTATTATTTTAAAGTAAGAACTATCAGAAGGGAACGGGAGCTAAAATATTATTTATCCATATCAGGCTGTCACTTTACAAGTGTCATTACTGTTTCCAGTTCTCAAAACAGCCCAGCAAGCTCTGTACTGTTATTTGCTTGTTATCAAGAAGGATCTACATTTTCAGTAATTTTCCCACTTCCACACAGAGAAAAGCAGAGCCAGGAAGTGAAACCATTTCTCTCTCCAACCTGAATCCACGGGGAGCTCCGCCTTCTAGGGGCCCCCTACACCTGAATTGAAAGTCCCTGCCTTTCTCTTGCCTGCTTATTTCTGGACTTTTTCTTCCACAAAGGCATTTATCGTCTCCTCCTTCCTTCTCTGGTTCCTTGGTCCCTTGATGTGCCAACATGGTTCACCCTCTTGTGTTTCTGAAATGGGTCTGTGAGCCTTGCTGGAAGCTCACATACTCTCCACCACATTCCCCTCCTCTGGATATGAATTATAGCCACAGATATATAATAACATATAGTAAATCCAGAACAGAGGTGAGATGAGGCCCATACCTGGGATTCTTTTTGTTAACTTAGCTCACAAGCAGAGTGCCCGGTTCTGAAAAGGAGTGCACTTGCTCCTTTAATTGGACTCAATAATTAAGGCCTGGATTCACGGCATCCCACAGAAATCCTTTTCTCAGGACCCTCTGGTCCATATTATGGCTAAAGCATCGGAGTGCTGCTAACTAATGGGCGGATCACTGGAGCGAGGCCTCCGAGCTGCATTTACCCACACCCCTCCTTTTTCCACCTTCGGCGTTATCACCATCACTATTTTTCATCTTTATCGTGCCCTTCCGCAGAGGCATTCAATAATGTACCCATTGTGCGAGTAATCTGAAATCCTTTTCGGCGAGCAATAGTATTTAGTAGTAATAAAACACTAATTTGTCTACCAAGTGACATATTTATAGGAGCTGTTTACTTTGACATATTTTTATTATTTCTACTCATTTGCTAAGTACTTTCCAATACATATTTATGAAGCACATGCCTTTCCCCAAACAGTACTGAAAAAATAAATCACATTATTTCTTTTATTAGTAGCAGCAAGGCTTCTAAGTCCTAGTGCCCTGATTTCTGTTACTTCTTGCAGGAGCCAGAAGAACTAATGGTGATTGAGCACCTACTATGTGCCAGGCTCTCTGTGAAAGGCACTTTCCATAAATCACCTGTTAACTCCCCTGAGATATGCATTTTACCAATAAGGAAAATGTAACTCTGTACAACATAGATTTCTACCGGGAAAACAAAAACATTATGTTCTCTGAGGAACTCTGCCAGAAAGAGCACAGTAGGGTATTGAACCTAGATCTTTCTTTGATTCCAAAGTCCTAAACCACCATCCCACTTTACCAGTCACAGACCACTCCAACATCTCAGGATATAATACTCCATAAAATCAATCAGGCATGGTGGTGCATGCCTTTAGTTCCAGTAATGGGGAGGCAAAGGCAGGTGGATTTGGACAGCCAGGGCTACACAGGGAAACCCTGTCTTGTAATAAATAAATAATATATATAAACCTGTAAAATCTACGGTATTCATGATAAACCTATTCCCTGAGAAATCAGCTGTGTCCCCCAGAGTGAGTACAAGAACTGTACCCATTCCAAGTCTGGTGCAGTGGTTTGAAAGAAAATGGCCTCTAAAGGAAGTGGTACTAATGGGAGGTGTGGCCTCGTTGGAGGAAGTGTATCATTGTGGGGTGAGCTTTGAAGTCTCCTATGCTCAAGCTAAACCCCGTGTGAGAGACCACTTCCTGTTGCCTGTGAGTCAAGGTGTAGGAACTCTCAGCTCCTTCTCTAGCACCATGTCTGCCTGCATAGTGCCTTACTTCTTACCACGACGATAATGAACTAAACCTCTGAACTGTGAGCGAGCCACCCCAATTAAAAATGAACTAGCTGGGCGGTGGTGGCGCACGCCTTTAATCCCAGCACTCGGGAGGCAGAGCCAGGCGGATCTCTGTGAGTTCGAGGCCAGCCTGGACTACCAAGTGAGTTCCAGGAAAGGCGCAAAGCTACACAGAGAAACCCTGTCTCGAAAAACAAAAAAAAAAATAAATAAATAAATAAATAAATAAAAAATAAAAATGAACTAAACCTCTGAACTGTGAGTGAGCCACCCCAATTAAATGTTTTCCTTTATAAGAGTTGCTGTGAGAGGAGAGAGATGGCTCCGTGGTTAAGAGCACTGACATGTTCCAGAGGACCTGGGTTCAATTCCCAGGCCCTCCAGTGTTTGATCATGCCAGGGTTTAAAAAAAAAAAAGAGTTGCTGTGGTCATGGTGTCTCTTCATAGCAACAGAAACCCTAACTAAGACAGAAGTTGGTACCAGGGACTGGGGGATTGTTGTGATAGGCTGGACCATGTTTTTGTTTGGAGTAATAGGGACTTTGGGAGTTTGGGTTAGGAAAGCAGTGGAATGCTTTAAGCACTGCTTAATGAGCCATACAAGTAGAAGCATGGAAGACAGAGTCTTCCATGAACTGTGGAGTCCTGGCTAAGAGGTTTCAAAGGAGAAGAATATTTAACATGTTGCCTAGACATCGATCTTGTGATATTTTGGTGAAGAATGTAGCTAACTGCCTTTTGCCTTTGTCCTTGCCCTTGCCTGAGGCTAAAGTTGGTAGAGAAAAATCTCAAAACAGCCTAGGACAGATTCAGTTGTGTGGTTATTAGTGGTAACTCTAATGTAAAGATTTATAATGAAAAGGAGCACTCTGAGCAGGGTAAATTACAAAATGTGAAATTTGAGGAGAAAAGGGGCACCAGGAAGTAGAACAGAGCTAAATCCTATGTTCAAGGAGATAAACAGATTAAGAAATGGAATAGCCGGGATGGTGGTGGCACACACCTTTAATCCCAGCATTTGGGAGGCAGAGGCAGGCAGATCTCTGTGAGTTTGAGGCCAGCCTGGTCTCCAAAGCAGTTCCAGGAAAGGCGCAAAGCTACACAGAGAAACCCTGTCTTGAAAAATGAAAAAAAAGAAAGAAAGAAATGGAATAAAGGGAGTGGTGACCTCAGGGCAAGATCCCACCCTGCTAAGTTTCCTATTTGTGAAAAGGAATTTAAAAAAAAGCTTAGAGCCAGGTATGGTGGCACATGCCTTTAATCCCAGCACTCCAGAGGCAGAGGCTGGTGGATCCCTGAGTTTGAGGCCAGCTTGGTCTACAGAGCAAGTTCCAGATCAGCCAAGCTTAGGCAATAAAGGAAACCATTGAAAAGAGAAAGTTGGTGAAGATGTAATTTGAATGAGGGGGCCATGTCCAGCCCCAGTAAGCAGCAGAACATGGCAGCTTTGGCCACGTGGTGATGGAGTTAAGGATAGAAGAAAGGGGCTATGGAATTTGTGATGAAACTAAAGAAGCCAAGTTCGTCCTCTAGTGTCAGATAGCAAGAAAAGAGCTGAGACCAGTTAGTTGAGATGTCAAAAATCCTACTCCTTTACAGAAAGAGAGGAGAGAAGCGTTAATGGTGAGTGAGTTTGTCTGTGTGTGCAAAGCTGTTGTACTGGCTATCAAAATCAGGACCTCAGACATGCCAGACAGAGCTCTACTACTGAACTACACCTGGCTGGTAATATACCTTGCTCTCATTAAAAACAGGGGTGTAGATGGATTTTTCTTAGGGCCACCAGCGCACAAAAAAAAAAAAAAAAAAAAAAAAAAAGACATGGAGACTTACTCTTAATTATGAAAGCTGAGTCTTAGCTTAGGTTTGTCCCATTAGCTCTTATAACTTAAATTAACCCATATTTTTAAGTCTATGTTCTTTTACATGGATCAGTTACCTTTATTCTGTACTGCCCATCCTGCTACTTCAACACTTCTTCCCAGAGCTCTCTCTGTCCAGAAGTCCTGCCTATACCTCCTGCCTAGCTATTGGCCATTCACCTCTTTATTAAACTAATCACAGTGACACATCTTTACACAGTGTGAAAGAATATTCTGCAACACAAGGGACTGGAGAAATGGCTCAGTATTAAGAGGATTTGCTGCTCTTGCAGAAGACCCAGGTTCGGTTTCAAGCACCTACTTAGTGGCTCACAAACCTATAACTCCAGTTCCCAGGGATCCAGCACCTTCTTCTGACTACCATAGGCACCAGGCACATACGTGATACATATATCCATATGCAGGAAAAACATTCATATGCATAAAATAAATAAATCTTAAAAAAAAATAAAATCAATAATAAAAGCCCATTGAGTTGGCACAGACCTATAATCCCAGCACTCTAGAGGCTGAAGCAGGATTAAAGGTTCGAATTCAGAGATCCACCTCCCTTTGCCTCCGGGGAATTGGGACTAAAGGCATGTGTCAACATGCCTGGCAAGACCAAAGCAACTCTTATGAAAGAAAACATTTAATGCGGGCTTGCTTACAGTTTCAGAGGTTTAATCCATTGTCATAATGGCGGGGAGCATGGCGGCACATGGGCAGACATAGTGCTAGAGACGTAGCTGAGAATTCTATGTCTGGACCCACAGGAAGCAGGAAGAGAGATACAGGGCCTGGCATGGGCTTTTGAAACTTCAAAGCCCACCCCCAGTGACACACTTCCTCCAACAAGGCCACACCTCCTAACCCTTCTCAAGTAGTATCACTCTCTAATAACTAAGCATTCAAATATATGAGCCTATGGGGGCCATTCTTATTCAAACCACCACATGTGTGTAGACATAAACATATTTATATGGAGTAACATATCTCATTCTAATTTCAGGTATACACAGACACAGAGAACTGGACAGCTGAAACTCTACCCAGACACCTCCATGCCAGAATACAGTGAAAGCCTAGCACGCCATGCGTGCATCTAAATCCTTATCTCCTCCCAGCTCACATCTCAGGCATGCACAGCCCGCTGTTTTTCATTCAGCTTTATCCCCCGCTAACCCTTCAGCTCTCTTGCGCGCACACACGGTATCTGCCTTCTCTGGAGTGTTTGTCATTCCCTCTTCCCCGGGGAAAATCAGCAAAAGCTGATAAAGTGGATCTCTGATCTAGCTTTTTATGGTGAGCTCAGCCGAAAGGGGGTTGCGATGTTCAGCCTCAGCTGTTGGGGCACAATATGAGAGAGACTTTTGTTAAAATATTTACATATTTACAGCTGAAGGCAGCAAGAGGTTGAAAAAAGAGAGTCTGGCATCGAGTGGATTCAAGTTTAGATTCCCATGCTGTCGCGTAAGAGATGCATGTCCTAAAACCTCAATGAGCTCCATTTAGTCTGGAAGATGAAGTGATTGCCGGTGCCACTCGGCTTGTGCTAAGCCCACCGTGAGTCCTGTGCTAAGCGCTGAGCACACACACACACACACACACACACACACACACACACACACACACACACACACACGAGCCCGGATAGACTCGCCCCTGGATGCAATAGGGCCACCTGCTGTCTAACCCACCCTCCCCCCTCCCCGTCCATCTTTAGCAGGACCACAGCAGGTGCCTCAAGAAAGCTAAGCCGGAGCCCCAACTCCATGGCTGTTCCTTGGTGGGTCTGAGCCCACCACGGAGGTACCATCTCCTTTTCCACTACTGAACAAGACACAGTGCCCGAGGCAGTTCTGCATCAATGAGATAGGAAGCGGGTCAAGCAGTCATCAGGAGGAAGCTCGAGTTTTCCTCGTTCTTCAAAGGACACGAGGAGATGATCCCTTCCCTGTCCATAGATACTGTCATGTCTGGATTAATGTTCAGAGTGGCTGCAGCCAGGTTTTAATGAGGGCAACAAGCTTGGAGAAAAAAAAAAAAACCAACACAGAGAATCGAGGACAGAGATGGGAAGGCCCTCTATTCTCCACATTGGGCCATTGCATCAACCAACTTTGGCTTCACATTATCAGAGATGAGTAATCTTCCTTATCACTGATGCCTCTCTAAGTGGGATTTTGTTACTTGCTATGGAAAGCAGCTTCAATAATACATGGATCTTTTTTTTTTCTCTCCCTGACAGTCTCAGAAAGCTCAACCTCCTGACTCAAGGCCACCAAGCACTAGCACCCAGTAGGTATTTAACATTTGGTCTAATTTCAAATAGATACACGATGACCTCCTTGTATCAAGGTTAAAAAAAGACAATAAACTGTGGGGACCTAAAGACTATCTAGATCAAAGAGGAAAGAATCTTACATTGCTCTCTTCATTTTTTCTAGTACTGAGGATCAAATCTAGGGCCTGGCCCGTGCTAGGCAAGCACTCTACCACTGATGTACACCCCTAGGCCACCGTCTAAAATTCATTAAAGCCCACTCCTTAACAAGCTCCCACAATGTGGAAAGAACAAGAGAAGAACACACACGGGAGGCCTTGCATTCTGCACTGGAATTGCCACATTTTTGCTTTGAGCCTTGGGTTCTTCCTCTTAACAAAATGATGAGCTGGGAGCTGGGATGCATCTCAGTGGAGGAGCCTTTGCATAGATTGTGTAAGGTCCTAGGTTGGAATCCTTTCGATGCAATTAAAAAAAAAAAAAAGACAGCTCACACTGCACTGTTCTAGGATCCTCAGTCAAGTATGAAACATTTGAAATCACCAACTGCAGGAAACAGGACAGATCCATCCAGGGCAGAGTGAGGAACCAGGCTCCTCCTTGAACACCAGTCCCCCTAACTGGTAGTGGTTCCCAAGTTGCACTAAGAAACTGTCAAACACTCCACGAGAGAGAGCCCTTGACTAGTTGGTGCTGTCTGCTATGAGATCAGGATGCCCAAAGAGCACCAGGAGTGGCAGGAATGTGCTTTTCCTGGTTTAGTGTATTGTTCTCACCAGGGTTGCAGGAAGCTGCCAACTTACCAGCCATGGTGTAGATACCAAAGACTGTTGTCTCCCTTGGTCTTCTATGTGTGAGGGTTGAGGTTCCACGTTATCACAGCTACCTTATGCCACTTGTCACTCATTCTCCATCCTTCAGGCTTGCTTCTATCCCGCTATACCCATTACCCATGTCATATTTTCTTTTTTCTTTTTTGGGGGCAAGTTTCCTTTGTGTAATAGCCCTGGCTGTCCTGGAACTCACTCTATAGACCAGGCTGGCCTTGAACTCACAGAGATCTGCCTGCCTCTGCCTCCCGAGTGCTGGGATTAAAGGAATGTGCTACCATGCCTGGCATATTTTCTTTTATCATTACATTTTTATTATTATATATGAGGGGGCATACATATGCCACACAGCATGTATGGAGGTCAGAGGACAGTTTGCAGGAGTCAATTCTCTCTTTCTTTTATGTGGGACCCGGGGACTGAACTCAGGTTGTCAGGCTTGGAGACAAGCATCTTTATCTACTTAGTCATCTCATTGGCCCTAAATATCAGATCTTGTAACTCTGGTCCCCCTTTCCTGCAGCTAAGACAAAACTAATTATACAACAGGCTCTCTAACCAAGCGTGACCCTCCTGTAAAAGATGTGGTCCATAAACAATCTTGATCATTTCTTTACTCTGCCTTTCATTTTCCATTCCCTGGTACCATCCTCCCCTCTCAGGCAGAGTTACGACTCTCAGATGGATGGCCACAGTGTTGGTAACAGACAGAGGGTTGTTTTATTCACTAAGACATGAGGCTGTGGTACAGCTGGCAAGACGAGAGGTGTAATTATCCTGCATCTTAGAGCCACCGGCAATGAATTTCTGTATAAAAGACTAGATTGGCCATGTATTATTTATGCCAGCATCAATTTTCCCAGCTGGTTCTATTTACTGTGCAAATTCTCCTCTGTCTGTTTATGGGTTAGGCCATGGTTCAGCACCTCTGGTTACTCTAGACTGAGGAAGAGCCCCCACAGGGCACCATGCATATGAAACAAGTGTCTGGTTCACTGGAAGCAGGTCACATCCTTCCTCCCTGGTAAATTATATCCCTGGGACAGCAGTGAGCTCAAGTTCTCACCTATCAGGGTGATGCATGCAGGTGTGTGAAACCCAGTCAGCAAGCAGGGAAGAACTCTCATTCTCTGGGAATCCCACTGCAGGAACGGAAAAACAACCTTCTTGGGGGAAAATCTGGTGGCTCTAGGGTTCAGAGGACTTCCTTTTTACTTTTTTTTTAATATTTTAATTTTAATTTTATTTTATTTGGTTTTTTGAGACAGAGTTTCTCTGGGTAGTTTTGGTGCCTGTCTGGGATCTCACTCTGTAGACCAGGCTGGCCTCGAACTCACAGAGATCCACCTGGCTCTGCCTCCCTAGTGCTGGGATTATAGGTGTGCGCCACCACCGCCCAGCATTATGTATTTTTAAGAGCAGGGCATACATAAAGAACTTTACATTTCTGAGGTTGTTCCTACTGAGTAACTCAGACAAAGGAAGTCCCATCTTGCAGGTGGGAAAACTGAGGCCAAAATAAATGGAAATGGGTGGAGCGAAAGCTTCCCGGATCAATTACTGTGTGAGGGATGGTGACACACAAGGCCAAGAAGCTATTCATCCAGTCATTACTGTGTTTGATGTCCCAAGCTAGGTTGACCTCAACCTCCACTGGAAACATATGGCGGACACAAAGGAAGAAAACTTGAGGCCGCGATGGCCTACGATGGACTTCTAGGTCCTCCTCCCCACTCCACACCTCCCCACGGCAGCATCCTCTGGCCAGTGGCTCCATGAGATCCCACAGTGAAGGTGAGGAAGCTGAGGCTTGGTTTCTGACAAGTCTGAGACGTCTACACTTCCCAGTCCCCTGTGGCAGTGGACAGCAGCTGACTGAGAAGGAATGCTGTAAGGGCCTGGGAGCTGTCCCTTTCCCAGTCAACAGCGTCACGTCTGTTTGGCAGGCAATTCTGGGCTCTGCTCCTCAGTCCCCAATGTCCCAATGTCTATCACCTCCTGCAGACCTGTTGGCTGGAAGGAGAGACACCAGAGAGGGGGAGGGAGAATTAAACAATCCAAGTGATCAGCTTTTGTTTCAGGGTTTCAGCATCCAAGAATCCTTCAATGAGATACCAGTGGGTATAGAAACCACCCTCTCCAGGGCCCAAGATCCATGGCGTCTCCTGGGTTGGCTCACCTGGCGGGGAGACTTGGTCAGACACACCACGCGTTGGCCGCTACCTGATGTTGCAGCCCCTTCAAAGACATCCAGGAGAATCCGGGTACTGGGCACAAAGCTCCAGGAGCGTCCCAGAGCAGGATTGACTCTCCTACTATCTCGGTCTCGGGTCAAGTGGTTGGTCACCTGCAGAAAGGGATACAGATCCATGATGGTAGTACAGAGGACACCTGTTCCTACCACTTCATTTTACAGACAAGAAATCTGAGATCTCTGACTCTCCCAGGTATTATAATTTATGGTTAAATCTAGAGCTACATTTCAGGGCTCCAGATCCGCACCCAGCTTTCCACAAAGTCATGGGGCACCTTTATTCATTCTTTCCTTAAAGTGGAGCTGGTGCTGGACTTGGACCTGCCACAGGCATCCTAAGACCAATGCACTCAGCTGTTGGTGTCTGGAGTGTGTCTGTGTGTCGGGAAAAAAGGAGGTTTAGATAAGAAGTGCAAGCCAGCCACAGAGACCCAAACCCCAGTCTCCTGATGACTTCAACTATGGCTCCTTCCCTATAGTCCATGCCAGAGACTGGCACCCAAGTCCCCACAAACACTCAGAAGCCCAGAAGCCAGCCAAGCTGGCCTCGAACTCACAGAGATCCACCTGCTTCTTCCTCCTGAGTGCTGGAGTTTGAAGAGTTTGAGTTTGAGCCAGGGCTACCTGTTACTTTTATGTGTTTGACGTGGTGTCTCACTAGGCTGCTCAGGCTGGCCTCAAACTCCTACACTGAAGTACTAGTCCTACTTCAACCTCCTGAGGGGCTGTGACTACAGACATATCACCACATTCAACTACAAGTATTTTAAATGTCTAGATAGGTCATTGCCCCCTTTTAAGGAAATATTACACTAATCTGTGCACCTGCAGGCAGTGTGAAAGAATTGGTTTCCCTGCTCTTTTGTTCAAAAAAACCAAAAAAAAAAAAAAAAAAAAAAGAGTGCTCACTGTCAGGGCTGGAGCAGTGAGTGGTTCAGCAGCCAGGAACACATGCTGCTCTTGCAGAGGACCAACTTCTGTTCTTACCACAGAGCTGTTTCCTGTCCTGATAGAAGCAGCTTTTTTTTTTTTTTTTTTTTTTTGAGACAGGGTTTCTCTGTGTAGCTTTGCGCCTTTCCTGGAACTCACTTGGTAGCCCAGGCTGGCCTCAAACTCACAGAGATCCGCCTGGCTCTGCCTCCCGAGTGCTGGGATTAAAGGCGTGAACCACCACCGCCCGGCTAGAAGCAGCTTTTTAAGTCTGCATACTTTTCTTTTTTTTTTTTTTTTGGTTTTTCAAGACAGGGTTTCTCTGTGTAGCTTTGCGCCTTTCCTGGATCTCGCTCTGTAGACCAGGCTGGCCTCGAACTCACAGAGATCCGCCTGGCTCTGCCTCCCCCGAGTGCTGGGATTAAAGGCGTGCGCCACCACCGCCCGGCGAAGTCTGCATACTTTTCATAAAAAGATTTAAAAAAGCTGCCGGGTGGTGGTGGCACACGCCTTTAATCCCAGCACTCGGGAGGCAGAGCCAGGCGGATCTCTGTGAGTTCGAGGCCAGCCTGGTCTACAGAGCGAGATCCAGGAAAGGCGCAAAGCTACACAGAGAAACCCTGTCTCGAAAAACCAAAAAAAAAAAAAGATTCAAGTTGTTGGGGCTGGAGGGATGGCTCAGAGGTTAAGAGCACTGGCTGCTCTTCCAGAGGTTCTGAGTTCAATTCCCAGCACCCACATGGTGGCTCACAACCATCTTTAATAAGACCTGGCACCGTCTCTGGCATGCAGGCAGAATATTGTATACATAATAAATAAATCTTAGAAAAAAAAAAGATTCAAGTTGTTATCAATCTCCACACCCAAGGAGCCATGCTCATACTTCATCTCTCTGTAAAATCTTTTTCTTTTGCATATATGTTTACATTTTTAGATAACTTTCTTTTTTTTTTAAAGACTTTATTTTTATAGTTGGGCAGTGGTGGTGCACACCTTTAATCCCAGCACTTGGGAGCCAGGGGCAGTGGATCTCTGTGAGTTGGAAGCCAGCCTGGTCTACAGAGCAAGTTCCAGGACAGCCAGGGCTACACAGAGAAACCCTGTCTCGAAAAACCAAAACCAAAACCAAAAAGTAACATCTCAGGCCATTTTCTGTGTTTTGTTTTGTTTTAAGATTTATTTATTATGTATACAGTGTTCTGCCTGCCTGCATCTGCCTGCATGTATGCCTGCACACTGGAAGAAGGCACCAGATCTCATTACAGGTGGTTGTGACTCACCACGTAGTTGCTGGGAATTGAACCCAGGACCTCTGGAAGAGCAACCAGTGCTCTTAACCTCTGAGCCATCTCTCCAGCCCTGTTTTCTGTGTTTTTTTTTTTTTTTTAAAGATTTATTTATTTATTATGTACACAGTGTTCTGCCTGCATGTATGCCTGCACACTGGAAGAAGGCACCAGATCTCATTACAGATGGTTGTGAGCCACCATATGGTTGCTGAGAGTTGAACTCAGGACCTTTGGAAGAGCAAGCAGTGCTCTTAACCTCTGAGCCATCTCTCCAGCCCCTTCTGTGTTCTTACATAGACCCTTTTTTCTATTTTCATTATTGAATGAAAAAAATAAATAAATAAAAAGGGAGGACATGACTGCTCCTAGGTGTGGGTTGAGAAGGTTTATTGTAGATAAAAGGGAGAAAACAGCCAGAGGAAAGGTTTTGGGTAGACATGACCAGTAGACTGAGCAGGGCCATGTGAGGAGAGAGGGGGAGAGAGAGCCAAGGAGGAGCCACTGACCAAGAGAGGCAGCCTGCGCCAAATGATTGGTGTAGCAAAATGGCTGAGGTATATAGGCACCAGAGGTGCTGAGGGAAGGAACAGCCCAGCCCCTGGGCTGGAGAGTTCAGGGGAGGGGGTAGGGTATGATAGCCAGGACCCTGTAACAGGTAGGGACTGAGGGATGCTGGGAGAATCTGGTGGCCAGAATCTGCTTTGATGTTAGGCATCTCAGCCATTTGTCCTGGGTTTGAGACCTAACAATTACCATCAAATTTTTCAATTTGTTCTGTTTTGTTTCATTGAGAAAGGATCTCACTATATATCCCAAACTACCTTGAATTTGAGATCCTCCTACCTCAGCCTCTGAGTACCAAAAGCAAAAGCATATGCCCTATACCTAGTTCTTTACATAGATTCTTTAAGATGGCCATTTTAAAGCAAGACATGGGGGCACATGCCTGTAATCCCAGTACTTGGAGGCTTGAAAAACCAAACCAAACAACCCCCCCCCCCCTTAAAACAAGATAGTCCCTAATCCCTGTAGCTATTCATGGTCCAAATACCTCTCTGACCTGTGGAAGCTGAGCTCTGTGCTCTGTCCCCTTCCTTAAGGGCTATTATAGTTCTAAGATAACATTTAAGAGAACTAGTGCTGGCTACAATTAGAAATTATGTTCATAGGAAAAGCCTCCTCACCATCACTGCCACACCCAGCTCCCGGGCCAGGATCTTGAGCTCTCGGGCCAGCTGCATCATTAAGGCCAGGCCTGGGGGAGGAGCAAACAGGAGAGGCAGCAAGAGGGCCGAAGGACAGGGCTGGGAGGTGAAGTCCCCACCCTGTCTCCAGGCTCTCCTTCCTACTGACCTTCCCTCTGTTGACCTCCCAGAAGCGGGGCGACCACTGCAGTGACGGAATCCACAATCACAACCTTCACAGTGCCTGAAGAGGCCGTTGCCTGTAGGGATGGGAAAAGCAGGTACCATGAACCAGTGACCTCTAGGGGACGCCCGGGGCAAGCTCCTCTAGTGGACGCCCGGGGCAAGCTCCTCTAGTGGATGGAGGCCAGTAAGATGGATGGCTCAGCAGATAAAGGCAATGGTTGGACAAGCCTGGCAGCCTGAGTTTGATCCCTGGAACCCAAGTAAAGGTGGAAGCAGAGAACCAACTCCACAGAGTTCACTTCTCTGACCTACACACACACACACACACACACACACACACACACACACACACACACACACACACACACACACACACACACGGTGGCATGCATGTGCTCAGTTGTGCCTGTCTGTACATATACACACAATTTAAAAAATCAAGTTTACTCCTCAGAATTTTTTTTTTAAGAAGCCAGTCATGGGCTGGAGAGATGGCTCAGAGGTTAAGAACACTGGCTGCTCTTCCAAAGGTTCTGAGTTCAATTCCCAGCAACCACATGGTGGCTCAGAACCATTCGTAATGAAATCTGGTGCCCTCTTCTGGCCTGCAGGCATACATGCAGGCAGAACACTGTATACATTAAAAAAAAAAAAAAAAAAGTCAGTCATAAACAACCTTTCCTACCCAAATCCGACAGGCCTCACTGAAGCACCTTCCCTGACCTCATAAGCATAACAGACTCCACTGAGGATTTAGTAGACAGAGCGGGTTTAAGTCATAGGACAGCACAAACTCTCCATTCAGGAATTCCCATGCAGATTCCAATGGCAATCTCCTTACACCCAGCCTACTGTTAGCCCCTTCTCCTATTCTGAATCCCCTCACTGCTGCTCACTTTCACTTCAAATTCCCAAGCTGCATTTGCTCTCCACTGAGGAACCCAGGGCCTGGGGCATGCTGGGAACGCATTCTCCCTGAGTTACAGTAGTCTCTGCCCCTTTGTCCTCTTTTGTTTCCATCTCCTAGATTTCACCTCCTAAGCCCCCTCCTCTCCCACAGCTACCATGGTTCCAAATAAAGGTCGCTGTTTCAACCAGGCAGTGGTTGTGCAGGCGGGTCTCTGAGTTCAAGGCCAACCTGGTCTACAGAGCGAGTTCCAGGATGGCCAGGGCTACACAGAGAAACCCTGTCTTTAAAAAAAAAAAAAGGTAGTTGTTTCTCTAAGAGCCTGATGCCATTTCTCAGACCACAATCTGGTGTCTTTCCACAGGTGAGCATGGTCCCAGCATCTACGGACCTAAGATGTCTTCCACGCTTCCTTCTTCTCTCCCTTACTCCTCAGATCCTGATCCCGCTACACGTGTTGTTTCCATTTGCCAAGCCTTGGCTATTTGGCATTTCCACTCTGCCTTTTGTGTATCTCATTTCCAGCCTGGAACTGTGCGCCAGTCTTCCAGCCTCTGACTCTGAGCCTGTTACCAATGCGTCTAAGAGAGGACAGCGGAAATGGGAGAAGTCAAAACCAACCAGCTGAGGCCCTCCTCAGCCCTGTCCAGCTAAATGGCACAGCAAGACCTTTGCTGCTTTTGCCGAGGACCTGGGTTTGATTCCCAGCACCCACAAGATGGCTCACAACCTTCTGTAACTAAGTTCCAGAGGAATTAAATGTCCTCTTCACGCCTCCAAGGGCACCAGGCAAGCACACCATGTACATACATTCAGACACATAGAATACAATTTTAAAACCTTAAAAAAAAAAAAGCCAAGTGTCATTCAAAATCTCCTTCTCCCTTCCTTATAAACATTAATCTGAACATGTTTAGGTACTGGGTAGAAATCTCCTGACATCAGTGAGGATGGGCCCAGCACCCAATTCAAGATTCATATAAAGGTAGATGATTTGCTTTTGGTTAACTATGGCGGGAGGGATACCTCAGCGACAGTGTCTGGCTAACGTGTATAGGCCCTGGATTAGATCTCTAGTGTCACAAAAAAAGAAAAAAATTTATATTTATTTATTTTCATGTGTGAGCATGTGTGCATGTGTGCATATATTCATGAACACAGCCTTGGACAACTTGCAGAAGTCAGTTCTTTCCTTCCACCACGTGGGTCCTGAGAATCGATCCAACTTGGGTTGTAAGGATTGGCAGCAAATGCCTTTATCTATGAAATATCCTCACCAGATCCTTATCATCACAATTAAAGAAAGAAACCTGGATCGGGTGGTGGCGGCAGCAGTACACGCCTTTAATCCCAGCACTTGGGAGGCAGAGGCAGGAGGATCTCTGTGAGTCCAAGGCTAGCCTGGTCTTTAGTTCCAGAACAGCCAGGGAGAGAAACCCTGTCTTGAAAAACCAAAAACCCAAACCAACCAAAACAAAAACCAAACCAGGGGCTGGAGAGATGGCTCAGAGGTTAAGAGCACCGACTGCTCTTCCAGAGGTCCTGAGTTCAATTCCCAGCAACCACATGGTGGCTCTCAACCATCTGTAATGAGATCTGGTGCCCTCTTCTGGCCTGCAGAATACATGCTGTATATATAATAAATAAATAAATAAATCTTTAAAAAAAAAACACAAAAACAAAAACCAAACCAACCTGGCTAACTATATGTAAAAAGAGAGAGTCTACTAGAGGCCCTAAAGTATGCTGCTGCTGCTGCTGCTGCTGCTCTTCCTCCTCCTCCTCTTCTTCCCTCTTCCTCTTCCTTTTTTTTTTCTTGTTTTTGTTGTTGTTGGTTTTTTGAGAGAGGGTCTTTCTGTGTAGCCCTGGCTGTCCTGGAACTCACTCTGCATACTGTGCTATCCTCAAACTCAGAGATCCACCTGCCTCTGCCTCCCAAGTACTAGGATTAAAAGTGTGTGCCATCACCACCCAGCTATGTTTTTCTTAATAAAAGGGAAGAGATAATAAAAAAAAAAATTATCTCTCACTTACTTGCTTGAATATGGAGCACATGTATGCTTGGGGCTACAGCAGCCACTAGCCAATTTTGAGTTAAAGAACAGGAGAATTGGACACAGGACTCAGTGCCAGCCTCCAGTCTCACAAAAGATAATCAGATTGTCTCAAGAGTCAAGTCTCCCAGCCACATGTGGTGAAGCATACCTTCAATCTCAGCACTCAGGAGACAGGGCAGGAGACCTCTGTAAATTCCCAACCAGCCAGGCAGCCAGGCTACATAGTAAGATCCCTCCCCCCACCTCTCTCTCTCTCTCTCTCTCTCTCTCTCTCTCTCTCTCTCTCTCTCTCTCACACACACACACACACACAGACACACAGACACACACACACACACACACACACACACACACACACACACACACACGAGTTTTCCTAATTGATTTCAGTGAGTAATGCAGAGGTGAAGACAATATAATCCTCTACTCAAGGAGCTCACTGTTGTACAGGGTTGGTGAGCCTGTAAACAATGCAGCACATGAATTATGAATTAAGCACCAAGGAATTCCACCTGGGGCACGGGCCAGTGGGGAAGAGGGAGGGCTGGCAAACACAGCTGGAGATGTTACATTGGACACAGGCATTCCAAATAGTCTGTGGTAGGACACCTGCCGCGATACAGACAACACCTGGCCATCTGGGGAAAGCAGAAACAGGTACATCAGCAGGCTCACCTGCTGGGCCATGGTGCCCCGAAGGTCCTGCAGCATATCCAGCATCTGGAAGATGTCAAATGCATGCACCACCTGTATCCTCTGGAGAGCACCTGCCTGAGGGGTGGGAAAGAGAAGCAGGGACTTGGAGAGGGGATCCAGGAAAGCGATAAAGAGGAATCACCAAGCTGAAAAGGCAAAGAGGCACTTAGACACAGTGCTGGCATCCAGAATGGCAAATGGATTTTGCCTAATGGGCTGGATCTCACAGTGGTGACTACCTGGGTGCTGAGCTGTAAGACGTTCAGAATTCAGCAGGAAGGACAGATTGATTAGTGATGCCTGCCCTGACAAGAAATGGGCTGGAGACATAGCTGCAGGTCTTTGCCAGCTCTGATTTATGGTATTCGAGGACTTGGAAGTTCCTGGAGAATCAGTGTGGGTGGCATCCAAGCTGGGGTGATGCCGTTAACATGAGCAGCTCTAGGAATGCAGAGGACTCTCCAGTTTCAAGAAATGATTCTCACAGATGGTGTACATTCTTACAATGTTAAAGAGTCATGAAGTCCTCTAGCATCAGGATTTTAAAGGAACCCAGCCATCTTGCCCCCTACCTGTTTCTCCTCATCTTGAGTTCTAGCCTGTAGTAGCTGGAGGAGGCGGGACGCTGTCATCCCTCCATTGGAATCAACATACAGTACATTCTGCTGCAGGCTGTGGGCCACATTTGCAGCTACACAGAGACATACCTTCAGAGACAAGATGGGGCGCTGAGTAAACCTAAGCCCTTGGAGAAGAGGGAGTACCACCAGACAGCTTCCCTGCCACATCCTGCCCAGATTCCAACAACACCCACTGGCAAAAGCCATACCCATTCTCAGCACCCATCTGGTCTGTTCTGACCGTGCAACCCACAGGGACACCTGCAAGAACTCCCCAGGGAATCCAGGACAGTGCACCCATCTCCCCCGACTCTCCCTGCTGTTGGCCCCAAGGGTACCTGGGTTTTTCCGCTACCTGGGCCTCCTACAATTTCAGTCACCTCCCCCGTATAGAGGCCAGCATCAAGTAGTCTGTCCAGGCTGATGGTAGAAGAGAGAACCAGGGGATGGGCAAAGAGAGGAGAGAAGAAATTGTATTAAACTTGCAGATAAATTCGGGAAGTAAGCTGGGCATGGTGACAGATGCCTTTAATCCCAATATCAGGGAGACAAAGGCAGGCCTCTGTGAGGTCAATGGCAACATGAGAACCTGACTAATATATATATATATTATATTATTATGTATATTATATATTATAATATGTATATATGTGTGTATATATGTACATACACACACACAAACATATATATCTTTGGACATATATTTGGGGAGATAGCTTAATGGTAGAGTACATGCTTATCACATGCAAAGCCCTCAGAGTTCAATCTCTAGTATGGGGGTGGGAAGGAGGTCGGGGAAAGTTGGCATTCACTAATGTAGAATCTTGTAATCCACCACCACAAAAAGTCTCTCCATTTATTTGGGTCACCTTTGACCTTCTTCATCAGCATTTTTAATTTTCAGCATACAAATTATCCACGGGCTTTGTCAGACTTAGACCTATGTATTTCATTTCCTTAGATGCAACAGCAAATGGCATTGTGTTTTTAATTTCAGTTTTCACATGTTCATTGTGAGTTCAGAGAAATGCAATTGATTTTTATGTGTTGATCTTGTATCCCCAGACCTTGCTAAACTCGATTATTAGTTCTGGGAGTTTGTAATTATTTTTTATTTGCTTGTTTTTTTGCCTGCCTCCCTCATCTGGTAGGAGCACCCGGGGGCAAAGACTGGGTCTTTAACCCTCTTGTGTCTCCAATATTAGCACACAGAGCCGAAAACCCTGAAGGCACACAGTAAATGTTACTGCAGAAATTAAAAGAACAGTGGCTAGACTGTCATAACTCTGGCTGTGGAAGCCTTGAGATGAATCTCAAAACACAGCCACTTCCTAACCTCAGCTCTGCTCCTGAACCAAGTTCCTACCCTCGACGCTAGGCCCAAGATGAGAGCTGAAGTTTCTGTGTTGCAGCCTGGACCAATGCCTGACTGTCATGCACCACCCCTTTTTTTTTTTTTTTTTTTTTTAAGACAGGGTTTCTCTGTGCAGCTTTGGAGCCTGTCCTGGATCTCACTTTGTAGACCAGGCTGGACTCGAACTCACAAAGATTCACCTGGCTCTGCCTCCCGAGTGCTGGGATTAAAGGCACACACCACCACCCTTCTTAACAGGGCAATAATAGTTACAGACTGCAAGCCTCTGAAGGGGTTCCTGATGACCAACCATGACCTATGATCACATGACAAGCAGCAACCAGTCTCCACCCCACCTACTTTAACTCCAGGGACCACAGGTTCCTGCCAGTTGAAATCTGGTTCTTAATCCAGCCCTGTGGCTTCTTGGAATAACTGGACACGCTCTGGGTCTGTTTAATAAGCAGCTACTTAATAGGTCCCCAGCCTCTGCTTCTGAATCCCGTTCTCCCCAAGACACCGGAAGCCTAGGTCCATTACATTAGCTCCTCTCAGTGTGTTCTCCCAGGGTGGGCCCCAGATCAACAACATCAGCAACACAGACACTGTTAGATCCCGCTTCTGAACCGAGTTCAAGAACTCCACCCAGGTGGGGGTTGGCAGGATGGCTCGGGCAATAGAAGTGCTTGCCTTGCAAGCATGGGGATCTTACTTTGCACCAAAGAACCTGCTAGAAAAAACTGGGTGTGAGGGGCTGGAGGTGGCTGAGCAGTTGGCTCATAACCAACCAGGACATCTGACACCTCTCGTCTCCACAGATCCCTGCATACAGGAACACATTCACACACGGAAACATACACATCATTATTAAGCTAAAATAACTTTAAAAAAATTTTTTTTTATTTTTTTAAAGTAAATCTTTTTTTTTTTTTTTGGTTTTTTTTTTTTCGAGACAGGGTTTCTCTCTGTAGTTTTAGAGCCTGTCCTGGATCTTACTGTGTAGACCAGGCTGGCCTCGAACTCACAGAGATCCTCCTGGCTCTGCCTCCCGAGTGCTGGGATTAAAGGCGTGTGCCACCGCCATCTGGCTTAAAATAACTTTTACAAAAGGAAAAAAGACAGCTGTGGTTGTGTACTTGCTTTCTTTCTTCCTTCCTTTCTTTCTTTTTGGTTTTTTTTCAAGACAGGGTTTCGCTGTACAGGTCTGGCTGTCCTGGAACTCACTCTGTAGACCAGGCTGGCCTCAAACTCACAGAGATCTGCCTGCCTTGGCCTCCTAAGTGCTGGAATTAAGAGTGTGCACCATTATGCCCAGTTAAAATAAAATCTTTAAAAAAAAAAAAAAAAAAAGCCACCACATACTGGGCTATGAGGCTCCACCTGCATGAAGTACTTCCAAATCTGCCTTCCAGACAACTTCCCACCCGTGTTTCTTTCTTTCTTTTCTTTTTTTAAAACTTATTTAACTTTATTTAATGTGCATTGGTCCGAAGGTGTCAGATCCCCTGGATCTGGAGTTACAGACAGTTGTGAGCTGCCATGTGGGTGCTGGGAATGGAACCCAGGTTCTCTAGAAGAACAGTTAGTGCTCTTAACCACTGAGGCATCTGTCCATCTCTCCAGTCCCCCACCTCACCCCTGTTTCTACCCCTGACTCCTCCCACTGCTTTTGAAGTGGAGCATCCTACCATTAAATCCCCTGTTACCTCTGAGCATATCAATATATGTGGAGGGACTCCAACCAGGGCTGCCTAAAATGCAGGGCTTTCTCCCCACCTTTCCCACTGACCTTCCCATCAGCCTTCTTCCAGTCACTCAGACACCTTGCCTTACGTTTCCTGAAGACCTTATTCCAACAGAGATGAACAGACAAGAGCTCTGGCTTGCAAGGCATACCCAGTCTCCCCGGTCGACAGCATTTCCCCTAGTGTGCCACAGGCTCTACTGCCCTGCAAAGATTCACACTGCACCTCAGCACCCCGAGACTCACAACAAAGGACCCTATTTAACGGTTTAATAAGAGATCAACGGTCTTAATATGATAACAACAGTCAATCACGCATTTCACTAACTTGGACTTACCTCCACAGTTTCAAAGTCACATCCACTGTGTAGGCACAGCACGCTGTAGGGAAATCTAAAAACCTAGCAAATCGCCTTTTACTCTTCCTGCCTACACCCTGTCTGAGATGAAAGTCTCTTGTCACAGCTCTCTTTCAACAGGTTTTCCACCGTCACAAACCCTGGATCAGATTCACACCGCCCATACCAGCACCATCAGATCCCTGCTTGACCTCGTCTGGCCAGCCCCGTCCATCCTCCACATCTTTGCTCCACGGCCTACAAACGCTTTCACAGTGGCCTCTCCCCTCCAGATATACATCAGAACAGTCCAGCCAGAATGAAGTTCTTAGACACGACCTCCAGCACCCAATCTACCATCCGCAGGATCCTGAGCCCCCATTTCTTCACATACACATCGATGATTTCAAGGGCAGTGAACTCTCATTAGGGGTTGTGAAGGACAAATGGAATACATGCCATGAAATGCTGAGCACAGTGCCAGAGTCAGGGTGAGCATTCAGGGCAAGCTCAGTGGTTGGGGTCTGCCAATGCCAAGGCTACCTGTGCCACCCTGAGTCCTCAACCCCACCCACCCCATGATGACCGCAGCTGCAATCCTGCCGGTGTACCTTCTCACTGCTCATTCTGTGGATGCTGTTTTTGTAAGTTCCCTGGGCTCCAAAGCCAATGTGCCTCCTTGCTGTACTCACTAGTCTCCTGTATAGACTAACCACCATACTTAAGAGTGCGAGTCTTGCCTCACGCGTACAGACAGCATCTGCACGTGTCTGGCACCCAGTAGGCACTCAGCCAATGTTTGATGGATTACAAACACAGACCCCCCAACCAACAAGAACAAGCACCAGACTGTGCAGACCTTGCCAAGAGAATGTGTTATGGAAACAGCAAGGGCCAGACCAATCCAAAGACCTTTGTGACGGCAGTGTTATTCATCAAACTCCACACAAACAGGCCAGGAGAGAGGTCAGGCTCGCTTGGCCAGAAAATGCCAGTTGTCTTCCAATTCGTTCCCAGCCCGACCGAACCACAGGGCATAATGTAACTGCTCTTTTCAATGAGTGTGCCCGTTCCCGGCTGCTGCCTCCTGTGGCAAAGGCACCAGACTCAGGATTATATTTCCCTGGGCTCACCTCTGCCGGCCCCTCCTTTTAGGCTAACCACAAAGGAGGTCAACAATCTCTAACATCTATAGTCTATTGCAGTGGTTCTCAACCTGTGGGTCATCACCCCTCTGGGAAATTGAACAATCCTTACACAGGGGTCGCACATATCAGATATTTACATTAATTTATAACAGTAGCAAAATTGGCCGGGCGGTGGTGGCGCACGCCTTTAATCCCAGCACTCGGGAGGCAGAGCCAGGCGGATCTCTGTGAGTTCGAGGCCAGCCTGGACTACCAAGTGAGTTCCAGGAAAGGCGCAAAGCTACACAGAGAAACCCTGTCTCGAAAAACCAAAAAAAAAAAAAAAAAAAAAACAGTAGCAAAATTATAGGTATGAAGTAGCAACAAAAATAATTTTATGGTGGGGAGGGGGATTCATCACAACATGAAGAACTGTATTAGAAGGTCAGTCACAGCATTAGGAAAGTTGAGAACCACTGCTCCAGAGTCAGACCTTAGATTCAGACTCCCAGGAAGTCTCAATCCTGTCCTGAATCCTGAAGTATCAGAGACTCTACTGAAAAATGGGATATTATTGACATCTTGTGTTCTAGGGCAGTGGCTCTTCACTGGGAAATGTTGGCTCCTAGGAGATACTGAGTCATATCTGGAGACATTTTTGATTGTTAAAACTGGGGGGGAGGAGAAGAGGTCCTGGCATCTGGCGGGTAGAGCCCAAGGATGCTGCTAAATGTCTCTCAATACAGAGGCTATCCCTACCCCAGCAAATGACTACTTGTCCCCCAAGTGCTGATGCTAAGAAGCCCTTTTGTTTTACTCTAAGGAAAAAGAACTCAAGAGCCCAGATGCCTCTAGGATCCTTGACAGCTCCAGATGCCCTCACCAACCCTGCCCTTGGTAGTCTCGGGAAGCTCGGCTTTCACCTTCTTGCCCAGGTAAGCATACAAACCTTCCAATGCCGGTGGACAGGATAGCAGTGGAAGTCTTCAGTTCCTCATAGAGGTCCGCGCCATTTAATGGGAAAGCCGAGAACTGGGCCAGCAACACCCTCCTCAGGGCAACCAGGGCCTGCCAATAGGGCAGACACTCAGGCTCCAGAGCGCCCAGACTGCCCAGCGCCCAGCCGCCCCCGCAGAGCAATCCAGATCTAGCGCCCCCTTATCAACTTCGGGGAACTCTGATCCTGCAGCTTGAGGACCCGCTCTAGAAGATACCTTGGGATGGAGCTTGCACATCGTGAGCTCACCTTGTAGGACAAGCCACACTTCTGGGCTACCTCCTCCAGGTTAGCAGCTGCCAGGTCCGCCACTGGAAAGAGACCAAGTGCAGCTGATTAGCAACAGGAATGACTTAGCCATGCCACGCTTGCCTTTTTCTCTGTTGGGAAACGGCGTTAAAGTCTTAGTCTACTCCCGATTTCAAGTACGCAGGCCCTGATGCAGGACCCGGCGAGGAGCCCAGCACACAGTAGAGCCCTGTCTCGAACCCGGCCTCCCCAGGAGGTCAGAGTGTGGCCGTCCTGTTAGAGAGAAGCGCCCCGCACTTGTGCCAAGACTGTGGCGCCAATCCCTGTAGTCGTGCCCATGTTGTGTGCTACGAGCCCAAAAGGTCACCTGTCTTGATCCTTCGGCCTTTCAGAAGCTGGACGATCTCCTCGGTGAGGCCGGGGCACAGCCCTGCCCTGAGCATGCCCATGTTCCCTGCAAACCTGGGACGCCCCGGGGTCTGTCTGTCACGTGGGTGCCCGCCAACTCCCCCACAATGGGCGTCCCTCGGTTCCACTTCTGGAAAGGGTCCTGATGCGCCAGAGCGGGAGGAGGGGGCGGGAAGAGGATGCAGGTCGGGGTGAGGGACACCAGCCCTTCCCGATTCGCAGGACTCCAGCACACTGGGCCCGCCCCCTCCCGGAGGATGCTTCCGGGTTCCGCGACTGGAGCGTCTTTTGTGGCCCAGGCCTGCAGCGCCATCTGCTGACCAAGAGGGCAAACGCGGCGGCCTGGCGACTCGCGCCAAACCACCTGCCAGCCTCAGAGCTACTCTATCTCTCCCTTCCCCCTCCCTCCCCTCCTCCTCCCTCCCTCCCTCCCTTCCTCTCTCTCCTACACCCTACCCCCCACCCCCTACCCCCACCTCCCCCACCCCCGCTTCTGAGAGTCCCTTGTATACTAGCCAGGGACACTCTCACCCTACTTACTGAGTGAAGCACACCTGCCTTCTAGTAGCATTCATGTTAGGGAGACAGACAATGAGAAGGAATCAGTTCACATCATTACAGATTGTATGAACCACCAAAGTTCACAGAGAACACCTGCACCCCTGTATTTTCAAAAGAAATTGTTTCAAGTTTTATCTTATGTATATAGGTGTTTGCCTGCCTGAAGGTCTGTGCACCCTGCACCCCTTGCATGACTGGTGCCCAAGGAGGCCAGAAGAGGGAGTCAGATTCCCTTGGACTGGAGTTACAGGTGATTGTAAGCCAGTGTGGTGTGTGTGTGTGGTGTGTGTGTGTGTGTGTGTGTGTGTGTGTGTGTGTGTGTGTGTGTGTGTGTGTTGGGAACCTTAGTCCTCTAGAAGAGCAACCAGTGCTCCAAACTGCTAAGCCATTTCTCTAGCCCCATATTTTCCGAAGATTTTTATTTTTCGAGACAGGGTTTTTCTGTGTATTCCTGGCTGTCTTGGAACTCACTCTGAAGACCAGGCTGGCCATGAACGCAGAGATCTGCTTGCTTCTGCCTCCACCTCCTGAGTTTTGGAATTAAAGGCATGCACCACCACCACCTGGCATTTTCCAAATCTTTATTTTAGTGAGAGTAGGGGAATGCTTGAGGATTTAGAACATATTAAATATAGTTTACTGTGGAATATTCCTTTACACTGTGTGAATTTATGTTGCTGTGATTGGTTTAATAAAGAAGCTGACTGACCAATAGCTGAACAGGATAGATAAGGTTAGGCGGGGAGAGCCAAACTGAGAAGGCTGAGAGGAAGAAGGGCGGAGTCAGAGGAGTAGGGAGCAGTTGCAGAGAGAAGCAAGGTGGGCATGCCGTTCTGAGAACAGGTGGCAAATACACAGATAAGAAATGCTGTTTAATTTAAATATAAGAGTTAGCTAGTAACAAGCCTGAGCTATTGGCTGAGCATTTTAATTAATATTAAGCCTCCGTGTCGGTTATTTGGGAACTGGCAGGCAGAAGTCTGTCTACAGTTTACTATTTTGAAATGTTCTTTGCCACGTCCGGTGGAAGAAATAAAGCAGTTTCACAAACCTGCGTGAGGTTCTGTTTCTCTCTATATTTTGTAGTTGAAGGAATTGGGGCTCAATGGGACTTTTATTCTCCGAGTCACACAGGTAGTATGCACAGAACTGAATCTCAAGTCCACGTCCAACTGCAAAGCCAGTGTTACTGGACTTGCTCTCTCCCCTCCCCGGAAGTTGTGGGTGTGCCTTCCGCCTATACTTTGGCTCTCTCCATAGCAGAGAAGTCTGGCCCGTTTTTAGAACCATTTCTCCAGGTTCACCAATTGCCTCGAGTATCTTTCAAGGTATTTGGAATTCTGGCACTAAAATCAGCTACTCTGTGAGCGGCACACCACAGTAAGCTTTCACTGTGCCTGTGCGACTGGCCGAAGTGGGATTTACCCCTGAGATGCCAGGATAGAGAGCCTCGGCCTCAGTAGGCAAGGTCTTCCTCTTCAGTGGCTCCTTGGCTCAGCCCAGGTGGTGTTTCTCTGTCACTAGCCTGCTCCTCCTCCCAGGACAGCTCTAGAGGGTGTCCTCCAAGGAGGACAGAGCAGCTGTGGCCACAAATGTGGCCTGGAAGGGGCCATGTGTGCTGGAAGGGGCCATGAAGTTTGTTTCTTGGCTCAGTTCCTCCCCGACACAGGCTTTTGGTCTGTCCAGCTGCACAGCAAAGCTCACCTCCAGGGGAGGCTGGCCCCTAATTGTTACACTCGGTGATGATTGTGAAGTCAGCTCATTGCTCACCCATCCCACCCCAACTAAAGGTGGGACCTTTGCCTCAGTTTTCTCTCTGCTTCCTGCACGGTGGTGACAGCTCTGGTCCCGCCTACACCAGATGGCAACCGAGGTGTTCTGTGAAGTGGGGGGTGGGGAGGAGGCTATACCGAAGAAGAAGGAAACGCTCAACATTATGAATGTGACTGACCAACTGCCAAAGCCCTGTCCAAACTCCAAGTTTATTAACCGGTCTTTGGCTACCAAAGGCCTCCTGCTTTCCTCGGGACACAGCTTGGTCAGCCACCTAGAGGAAAACACCACCGACGTCATGTAAGATACAATTCTGGGTCCTCTTTTTGAAGGCCGGGGAAGCTTTGCAGCCCACTCTGGAGTCCCTCAAGGAAGAACAAATCAGGAGGTTCCCCAGGCGTCCCCTGAGCCCCGCGACAGTTTCTGAGAGCACGTGGGGTGCCTGCTCTAGGAGTCCTTTCTCGATCAGTCAGTTTACGGTGCTGGGTGCTTACCACCAGCCCTGCCCCATCCTAGGCTTCTCTCCTTCATTTCTCCAACTTCATTGTCCTTGTCTACCTTCCAGCTGAGGTTCACTGGTCCTCTTAGTAAGAGTCTGGACTTCCTCTAACTTCATGCCACAAAACTCTTTTCCTCTCGGTGAGAAATATAACCCAGTGTCGAGCTGGGAATGCAAGACTGGGAAGCATGGTCCCTGCCTTCAAAGAACATCGGGCCTAGTGTGCGTGGTGTTGGTTGTGGGGGACGTCAGGCAATAAAGAGGGTGGTATGTACAGCCTGGGAAATACTGTCACAGGGTGCCTTGAGAAACCAGAGGGGATTTCAAAAGGCTTGGTATAGTTTGGGACAAGGTGCAGGAAAGGGAGACCTCTTAGAGGAGGTGACATTTGAGGGAGATCTCCAGGGAAAGGGTTTCCAAGGTGATGACTGAGGTAACAGTACAGGTTCAATTGGGGTGACCCATGAGTGGGCCTGGGCTTTGTTTAATGCTTTGCTGTCACTGTCTTGAGTCACTATATGGGTGCGAGGAACTGAACCCTTGCTCTTAACCACTGAGCCATCTCTGCAGCCCCACTCTTGAAATCTTTCATTATTTCTTAAAAAAAAAAAAAAAAAAAACTTTCTATACTTTAGTTCTCATTGGGATCCACAGACTGTGGGCTAGTTTAGATTAGAGAGCGGTATGTGTCCATTCTAGGTCACCATTATCGTGACCTGGACAAATGACTATTGTTTGTAGGAAATTTCATGATTTACTGCGGGGGGGGGGGGGGGGGGGGGGGGGGGTAATCTCAGGCAAGGATCCCTTTGTTCAAATCCAAGTTCTACTGCTTAGATACATGGTCTCAGCCAAGTTCGCAGGCTAACACCCATCCAGCAGGGCTGCTGTGGAAATCAAGAAAGAGACGAGTCCAGAAAGCAGTCCAGCATCTAGGGATCTTCTGTGATGTGACCCTTTAGCGCCAGCATTTCCAGCAGGGAGGTCTGTTTTGTTGCTGTTGTTGTTTGTTTGTTTGTTTTTTGAGACAGGGGTTCTATGTGTAGCCCTGGCTGTCCTGGGACTTGCTCTGTAGACCAGGCTAACCTAAAACTCATGAGATCTGCCTGCCTCTGCCTCCAGAGTGCTGGTAGAGCCCCCAGGCCATGTATTCAGGGTTCCCCAGGCTGGATGGGTTGGGGTAGCCTCCTTCATCTGACATCCATTCCTTCCCACTCCAGGAAGCAGATGCCAGCGGAAGATTCTGAATACAGCTCAGATGACACTAGTATGTCCCCCATATCATCCACTCTGATGAACCCCATCAAACTGGCTGTGACTCAGCCCAATAACAGCTTCTTTGCCGGAATGCTGGAGGGTGAGCTAAACAAACTCAGTTTGTCGTCACTGACCAAGAACAGAGAAAATGAGAATCTGGCCATCTGCCCCCGCTCATCCAGGTCCCAAATAGCCCCTGCGGGCCTGTTGGACCTTGACAACCCTGCACTGGACACAGACACCTCCTCAACACGCTCTGAGTCTTCTGTGGTCCTGGATGTGCCAGAGGCCCCCTTCATCTGCGAGCACACTGTTGGCGATTCCACAGCTATGGTATGCTTTCCTCTTGGCAGAGGCTTACAGTGTAGGCAGTAAGCTAAGCTCCATGGAGAGTGTGACCTCAAGTTCACGGTTTAGGGAGGGAGGCAGGCAGGGGAGGGGTGGTCCACGGAGCTGTAGTGCAGGATGAAATGGGCTCACTGCTTTCCCCGCTCAATGCAGAAGAGATTAAGATCAAGTTCCTCAGAAATTCAGAGAAAGCTTACTTCCAGCTGAGCAAGGGCTGGAGCTGGGAAGTGGAGAAGCGAGCAGCCAGTGTGTCTGTTTCTAACCGAGGGCTTCGGACAGTCACGTTCCTCCAGGCCACCTTGTCAATACCTAGACTCCCAGGCTCCACGCCTAGAGGAGGAGGCCTGATAATGCGCAATGTTTACGTAGTCCCAGATAATGGAAACAATATGGTAAGTCCCTGAATATGAGTCAGACTTTTAGTCTGTCATTTAGTTGCTATGTGACGGCCTCTCTGCAGGTGGTGGAAAAGAAGGTTTCCATAGGTAGCTTTCCCTGGCCACTTAGGTCTCTGGAATGAGCACCCTATGGCGGAGTGGTGGGCGGAGCTCCTCCTCTTCTCAGTGTTACTGGGTGGTTGCCCTTTCCTCCAGACATGCCCGATTGAGCTCCAGTAAGGAACAGGAATGGAAGCGCCACTGTGACCTCTCCGTGCGGGGCCAGGCTAGACCTGAGGAAGCCCGGGCTCTCTCTCTCCCCCTAGATTTCCTGGACTTATGCTGTGGGCAAGCAGCAGGTCAGTTTCTACCAGGTGCTGCTGCAGGAGGCGACCAAGCGAGGCGAC